CCCCAGCTCCGCGGCACATCCGCAGCGCGGGCGCGTCGCCGCCGGGGGTGCGCCCCGCGCGGGCGAGCGCCCGCCGGGCACGCCGCTCGAGGCCGAAGCGGGCGCGCGGTCCCGGGCCGCCGCCGGCCCAGCCGGAATCCACGGCGAGGGTGCTCCAAGAGGCCTCCAAGATCGTTCCTCCTCCTCCTCCTCCTCCTCCTCCTCCTCCTCCTCTCGCTCCAAGACGGCCCTTGAGAGGTCCCCACCCGAAATGGCCCACGAGAGCCCGCAGAAAGGCCCCAGAGGCGCCCAGGAGGGCCCGACAAGAGCCTCAACAGGGACCTCAGAAAGGGGACTCGAACTTCAAGTTCGGGTCCTCCGCCCCAATAGGACACCCGAGACCGCCAGCGGCTGCCCAACAGGCTCCAAAGAGGCTCCAAGTAGCTCAAAAGATGCCTACTGAGCCCTTCAAGCGATTCCAATGCTAAACGCCTCGCCCGTGCAATTCGATTTTGATCTGAAGGTCAGCCGAATGGCGCAAGCCACGTGAATAAGGACGCAGGCTAAGGATGCAAGACTATTGAAAACTTCATTTACCATTTAGAGCGCCTTGGACGTCATCATTGACTCAGGATGGGCCGAAGAACCAGCGGTGCAAGGGCAACCTTGACGAAGGAACGCGCTCTTACTATGGATTTTGACTGCACGATGATTTCAATCCGGGCGTTGTCGTGAAATTTCGGCCTCCTCGGCCTCTCGATCCCAATGGTGTCGGGCCAGATCCTGCCTGGCCGCCGTGCCCTTCGCAGCGGTGGCCGAGCGCTTTTGTCCCAAGCGCTGCCCGCCAAAGGCTCCGTGCGGCAAGTTTGCCCCGTGGCGACCCCGGCGCTGGTTTCTGACACCGCGTGCTCAGATCTCCGACCGCAAGCGCTGCCCGCCAAAGGCTCCGTGCGGCAAGCTTGCCCCGTGGCGACCCCGGCGCTGGTTTCTGACACCGCGTGCTCAGATCTCCGACCGCAAGCGCTGCCCGCCAAAGGCTCCGTGCGGCAAGCTTGCCCCGTGGCGACCCCGGCGCTGGTTTCTGACACAGCGTGCTCAGATCTCCGACCGCCTCCCGCCCTGGTCGCCGCTGCCAGCCTCTGGTGGCGTGCGCTGGCCCTGTGCCGCCCACGCCACCTCCGCAGTCTTCAGCTGGCCCCCTTGGCAACCCTCGGCTGCTGCCCTCCGTGGCGCCGCAGCCGTCGACCTGCTGCGGTCTTTCAGCCCAGCCTCAGCAGCTCAGCTCGGAGGCTCGCAGCCCTTCGCTGCCGCGAGCGACTCGCTGGCCAGCCCCTCGGTCCCGGACTCCCTGCGCCATGCAGCCGCTGTGCGCTGGAACGCCTGGCAGCATGGCCCTTTGACGAACACTTGGGTGCCTTTTCGCCCGCACGCCATCCACTCTGAACTGGATGCCGTGTTCTACGCCTCCAGCGCCTGCAGCCCTTGCGTCAACCCCAGGGTGTGGACGCGACACCGCTCCACGTCCAATGCCACACGCCTCAGCAACGGCCGGCCGAACCGGCCACTCACGCCGAAGACCTTCGTGCTGTGAGTGCCCTCCCCTCCTTCCTCGTGCTCCGCTGCCGCCTTCTGCCCTGTGTTTTTTTTTCCCTGCCGGACAATCAGTACGCTGTGCCCCAGCTACTAGAGCGCGAGAGCGGATTGCCTCTGCCGCACCGCGACGAAACAAATGCTCAAATCTCCGAAGATGTAGGATATGAGTGTCATTCTGAGCGTTGTTCCTTGATTTCGGCCGCGGGGGGCTGTTTTCTTGGCCCCGACACCATCCGGAATGCATCCGGGGCGAAAGGCGGGCCCCGGGGAAGAGAGCGGGACCTTCTGGGGGCTGCGGGTTGAACAAATCATCGGCTCCCTCGGAGTTGGGCGAAGTGGCGTGCAGCGCCGAGTCGTGACGCAACGCGCATGCCAGCTGTTTTTGCCAGAAGTTGCCTGAAGGCTTCTGTTGGGTATCGAAGAAGCCTACGGCGAATCACCGCCGCCCCCTGCCTTTTTGGAAGCGCCTATGTGGCCGAACGTTGAGGCCAGACCTGCCAAGCTATCGTACCATGTGTTCCCCGAATCGGTTTGGAAAGCCCTCGGGGAACACGTGGGCATCTTGAAGGTCATCTTGGCCGTCTGGAGGCCATTTTGACCCTTTCGGGCCTTCTTGGAGGACGTCTTGGAGGGCTCTTGGGCCGTCTTGGAGGCCATCTTGGGGCCGTCTTGGAGGCCTCTTGGGCCGTCTTGGGGGCCTCTTGGGGCCGTCTTGGGCCTCTTGGGAGATCTTTGGCGGCACTTGGGCCGCTTCGGACCGTCGGAAGGCCGAACAAAAAAACAAATGCCACAATCCTTCAAACACTTATGCGAAACCAATGATTTTGGCCTTTTCGGGCCTTCCTGGAGGCCCTCTTGGAGGCCTCTTGGGCCGTCTTGGGCCATCTTAGGGCCATCTTCGGCCGTTTTGGTGGGCTCCTGGCCCGTCCGACGCCGTCGGAAGCCGTTTGGGGGGCCTCTCTGGGCCGACTTGGGGCCCTCTTGGAATGCTCCAGGGCCGTCTTGGAAGCCATCTTGGGCGTCTTAAAAGCCTCCTGGGTCGTCTTGGGGGCCTCTTGGGGCCGTCTTGGGGGTCTCTTGGGCCGTTGTGGGGCCATCTTGGGGGCCTCTTGGGCGATCTTTGGGGACCTCTTGGGCAGTCCTCAGGCCATCTTGGAGGCCTCTTGGGCGCTGTGGGGGCGATCTTGGCGGCCTCTTGGTCCGTCTTGGGTCGTCGGAAAGCCGAAAAGGAGCAAATACAAAAAACCTTTAAGAACCGCAGGAAAATCAATAATTTTAGCCTCTTCGGGCTCTCCTGGAGGACCTCTCGGAGGCCTCATGGGCCGTCTTGGAGGCCTCTTGTGCACCTCTTGGGCCGTCTTGGAGGTTTCTTGGGCGGACTTGGAGGCATCTCCTCCTCTCCTGGGCCGTCTTGGAGGCCATCTTGGGCGAACTTGGAGGCCATCTTGGGCCAACGTGGCCATCTTGGAGGCGTCTGGGGCAGGACAAATCTTTTGCAACCGGGTCCGGGCAATCCTCCCGGGACCCCGGCGGGACGGGCCGAATCCCAGGGGGGAGCTCTTTTGGAAAAAGAACCAAAACCAAAACCATACTAATTCGGCACACCAGGCACCCCTGCGATGAATCGACAGGGGGCGGCGGGGCTTCTCGAGGCCTTTTGGGGGGCCCCCTGGGGCCTGCTTTGGGCCTCCTCTTGGATGGGCGAGGGGGTTGTTAAGAGATGTTGCGTCCAGCGACGTTGACGTTGCTGGTTGTGGCTTTGTGAGAATCTTGTAAACGGTAAGAGCACCCCGCAGCATCGTCTTAAAACCATCAGTGGTGGGGGATGCTAAGTGATTAGCTAGGAGGGTTCACTTACTGCGCCGCCGCCGACACGCATGTAGTTAACCTTTTACTGGTAAGCTACTTGCACCCAGTAGCACGAGCAACCCGCATGTACAGCATGGGTCTCAGGTGTGGGCCGCGCGCCGGCAGGGGCAAGCGTCGAGGACGGATCGTCGCGCGCATGTGCTGTTCTGTGTCTTGGGGCCCCTTCCCATCATCAGGCAGGTGTGTCCTGGGACCCCTTCCTTTAACGGGCGAAGAACATTATAGCATAAACTTTTCGCCGTCGGGGACACCTGCCCCAGGGCGGCTGGAAAGTTTATACCCTTACGGTGGCACCGTAGGGGTATAAACTTTCCAGCCGCCCAGGGGCAGGTGTCCCCGACGGTGGAAAGCTTATTTTATACCGTTCTTCGCTCGCTCATTCCTGGGACATCCGATGTCTCGACTGTTTCAGCGCAAGGACTCTGGGAGTCCGGGCCCATTCTCCTGGGGCTGGCTTTTCATGGGGAGCCGTTCTCTGACGGTTCAAGGGCCCGGCGAGAGCCCCCGAGGCTGAGAACTGGCAAAAACTTCCCGTCGTGACTTTTTCACGACGCGAGCATGTCTGGGTCGGAAATACCATGTGGGACCTGCTCTAGAACAGGAACAGAACGTAGACGGATGTACCCTTCCCCTGTCCTTGTAGCAACGGCCGCGTTGTCTATAGACGTATCCGCCCCACATGTGTATATCTGTAATGACACACAACGTGTCTATAGATGCCGGTGGCTAGAAAGTGAACACGGTATTTGGCACAGGCCCCACATGTTGGCCCTCTGGAAGCAGGCCGACTCTGCCCTCCAGTGTCTGGGTTCCCATCCTCAGGGCCCCCACCCCTCAGGCAAAGGTGTCCCTGGCCCCAGGTGCCCCCAGCTTTTTGCTCAATCTTGGAGCCCCCTGGGGCCTCCGGGCCTCGTGAGGGGTGCTCGTGCTCCGGGGGGCCTCCTCGGGAATCCTGGGGACACTTTGGGCCAGGGGCTCTTCCATAGAGGAGCACAAAACCACACAACCATAAACTGTTGGAGCTCCGCGCGGATTTCTTGGATCCGTGCCGGACCCCTCTCCCTTGCGCGTGGAGCGCGCCAGAGGCGCCGCCAGGGGGCCCAGCGCCGATCCGAGAACTCCGCGCCGAGCGCCCAAAGCTCATGCTTGTAGCGTGCTTTCTGCTTCGACTCCAGGGGCGCCCGAGATCGAGCCGCCGACGAGGGCGGGAGGCCCCGCGAGGCCTCGGACGGGGCCGGCCAGGCTTCCAGGGCGACGGGCCCTGGGCTGCGGGGTGCCCTCTCGGGCCGAGCCCCCGTCAGCCCGGGACTGTGCGCTCGGCCCACGGGCGCACGGGCACTCTGACCCCTGCCGCTGCTCCTGCCTCCTGCTCCTCCTGCTTGCCTTGCCTTCTCCCCCTCTTCCTCCTCCTCCTCCTCCTCCTCCTCCTCCTCCCCGCCCTCCCCGCCCTCCATCCGCTGCGTGATTCTCCTGCTCGCCCCTCCCTCCCTCCTCTGCTCCCCCTGCTCCCCCCCCTCCCCTCGGCCCTGCCCCCCCCCCCCCCCCCGGGATCCATGATCCATGATCACTTGGTGGAGCTCCCGCTGTGTCCGGGCGATGCAGAACAAGCGGTCGCCCCTCCTGGCGGGAGCGGAGGACCGGAGGAGACCTGGCCAAGACGACGACGGCTCAGACATATCCGCCACCGTGCCGCGAGGCAGGAGGAGGCAGGAGGTGGAGGAGGCAGGAGGAGGCAGGAGGAGGAGGAGGAGCAGGAGGAGGAGGCGGAGGAGGAGGCGGAGGAGGGGAGGGGAGGCGGAGGAGGAGGAGGAGGAGGAGGAGGAGGAGGAGGAGGAGGAGGCGGAGGAGGAGGGAGGAGGAGGAGGAGGCAGGAGGTGGAGGAGGAGGAGGAGGAGGGAGGAGGCAGGAGGAGGCAGGAGGTGGAGGAGGAGGAGGACGGTGCCGCTGGGGTGCCCTCAGGTCCCTTGGGCCTGCCACCGCTCGCACGCCCGCTCCCCCCTGGCGCACTTCTCGGCCTCGCGCGCGCGCGCCTCTCGCGGGACGCGCCGGGCTGCTCCTGGAGGGCCCCCGCGGGGGAAACACGGCACACGCCCGAGCGATGCCAAGGAACATGCAGTGAAAACGTATAGTAAGGACGCGTGGTAAGGACGCAAGACCCTTGGAGGCCGAAGTCCCACCAGCCCTTTGGGCGTGAGTGGTTTAGGGAGTCCGCTCTGTTCTCAACCCCCCTTCTTCCCCTTCGGGGAGGGGTTTACCCCTCCCCCTACCCCCTCCCCCTGGACCTGGAGGGGGCCTTCCCTGGGAGGGCTAAAATTCGACACCCCTCACGAGGATCGTCGCCCCCAGGGGGGGGACACTGAAAAATGCTCGCCCCATCTGCGACCGATCGCCCCCAAGATGGCCTCATCAGGCCCCCAAGACGCTCCAAGAGGCGACCCAGGGAGCCTTCGGACGTTCCCCAGAGGCTCAAAAGAGAGCCCAAGAGGCCCCAAAACGGTCTCCAAGAGGCCTCCCTATTGCCTTGGATACGACTCCTCCTCCTCCTCCTCCTCCTACTACTACTACTACTACTACTACTACTACTACTACTACTACTTCCTACTACTACTACTACTACTACTACTACTACTGCTGCTGCTGCTGCTGCTACTACTACTACTTCTACTACTACTACTACTCTACTACCACTACTACTACTACTACTACTACTACTACTACTACTACTACTACTACTAGTACTACTACTACTACTACTACTACTACTACTACTACTACTACTACTACTACTACTACTACTACTACTACTACTACTACTACTACTACTACTACTACTACTATACTACTACTACTACTACTACTACGACTACGACTACTACTACTACTACTACTACTACTACTACTACTACTACTACTACTACTACTACTACTACTACTACTACTACTACTACTACTACTACTACTACTACTTGTACTACTACGAGTACAACGCCGACGTCTGCTACTACTACTACTAGTACTAACTTCCTACTATTACAACTTCCACTATTATTACTATTACTACTACTGCTGCTACTAGTACTAAGACTTCTACTACTACTACTAGTATTACTACTACTGATACTAGCACGACTATTCCCACGACTACTACTACTACTACTACTACTACTACTACCACTACTGCTACTACTACTACTACTACTACTACTACTACTACTACTACTACTACTACTACTACTACTACTACTACTACTAGTACTACTAGTACTACTAGTACTAGTAGTAGTACTAGTACTACTACTAGTACTAGTACTAGTACTACTACTAGTACTACTAGTACTACTACTACTACTACTACTACTACTACTACTACTACTCGAACGACTCACACCAGGACGAGGCGCCCGAACGACTCACACCACGAGGAGCCCGAACGACTCACACCAGGACGAGGGCCCCGAACGACTCACACCACGAGGAGCCCGAACGACTCACACCAGGAGGAGGGGCCCGAACGACTCACACCAGGACGAGGGGCCCGAACAACTCACACCACGAGAAGCCCGAACGACTCACACCAGGACGAAGAGCCCGAACGACTCACACCACGAAGAGCCCGAACGACTCACACCAGGAAGAAGGGCCCGAACGACTCACACCAGGACGAGAGGCCCGAACGACTCAAACCACGAGGAGCCCGAACGGCTCACACCAGGACGAGGGGCCCGAACGACTCACACCACGAGGAGCCCGAACGACTCACACCAGGAAGAGGGGCCCGAAGGACTCACACAAGGACGATGGGGCCGAACGACTCACACCACGAGGGGCCCCAACGACTCCCACCAGTCGTCGTCGTCGTCGTCGTCGTCGTCGTCGTCGTCGTCGTCCTTCGTCGTCGTCGTCGTCGACGTCGTCGTCGTCGTCGTCGTCGCGGTTGTGGTCGTCGTCGTCGTCGCGGTCGATATCGTCGTCGTCGTCGGGTGCGTCGTCGTTGTTAGGATCATCGCTGTGGTCGTCGTCTCCGCTAAATCCCTCTTGCCTCCCACCGCTTTCTCTCCCTCCTCCTCCGCCTCGTCCTTCTCCCGCTCCCACCACAAGGAGGATGTACAAGGAGGCGGGAGGAAAGAGGAACAGGGGAGATATGCGGGGGCAGGCGGAAACACGCCTGAAAAACACGACTGTCGGCATGCTTTGCAAGAGTTGCTGTTTTGAGATGGGCTGGTGGGGATACGCGAAGCGTGAAGAATTGAAGTATTCTGGCCTGCGAAAATTGCTAGGGACGGGCCGCAGAGGCTGAGGCAGGCAAGGACCCAAGGGTACCCTTGAAAAAGTCGTTTGTCCTTACTATGCGCGTTGACTGTACTGCGGGGCCCCGGCCCCAGCCTCTCATGAGAACCTGTGGCGTGCCTGTAGGTCGGGCATTTCCCCCCCCACGGGCGGATCTTCGAAGAAGAAACGCAACCGAGTCAACGAATGATCCCCAAATGCGTACCCAGACATGCGACGTCCTGATTTTTTCAGGACGGCGTCCCCGGAAGCCCAGACCCTTTCCCCAGGGCTGGTTCTTCATCCTGAGCCGTTTTTTGACGCTCCCAGGGACCGGCGAGGGCCCCCAGGGGCCGAAAATACAGAAAAGCTGGCCGTCCGGATTTTTTACGTACTTGCGTGCGCTCAATATTGATGGTATGATCTAGTGCCGCCTCGGATCTCGACCCCCGGACGTCCATGGAAGTACCTGGGCCAAACACGAAGATTCACAAACACATGTAAAAGTGGCACCCTTGCTGCACAATCCCCGAAAAGCTTTACAAACGCGTCCTGGGTACAGTCGGGGCGTTGACCTAAGGAACCCTAAATAAGGAACGGGGCCCCTTTTTCCCATAGGTTCAACCTCGATTTCCCATCGAAAGCAGAAGGAAAACCTGAGGCAAGCTGCGAAACAATCGCGGAACACCGAGCCCCTCCCCAACGAAAAGGGTTCCTTCTTCAGGGCCCCGGCTGTAGTCCTCCCGCAGAGAGACACACGCCCGACGCAAAGTGCGTGACCCCCGGAAGCTGTGCACGCCCTCCCGGGGGGACTCCCGGCGCGTGCCTCGGCGCGGCTCCCCCGGCGCTGCCCACACGTGGCACCTCGGAGCCCCCCGGCGCCCCGAGGGCTCCCGAGGGCTCTCCCCAGTCGCGGCGGCACGCTCCCGAGGGCGCCCCGAGGGCTCCCCGAGGGCTCTCCCGAGGGCTCCCCCGAGGGCTCTCCCGAGGGCTCTCCCCGAGGGCTCTCCCCGAGGGCTCCCGGGGGGAAGAGGAGCAGGAGAATGGACAGGAGAAGGCCATCTCAGAGGGCGGCGTGGCTTCTCAGAGGCCCTCTGGCCCTCCGAGGGGCTCTCTCCGTCTTCGGAGAAGGCTCAGACAGCGCCTCGAGGGCCCAGGCAGCTTCCGAGCCCTCCGAGGAGGTCCGCCCCTTCTCACCTTCCCCCCGGGCGCGCCGCCGACGAACACCCCTCAGACGCACCTCTCGAGGACTCGAACCCGCAGCTTCGGCACGGCGCCCAGGCCCCTCCGACGAGATGTTTTTTGTCGCAGCGTGGACCCCCAGAGGTCTGGACCCCTTCCCCTTCCCGGGGATCGGAGTTTCATCCTCGGTCGTTCTCTGAGGGCCCCGAGGCCCAGCAAAGGCCACCGAAAGCTGAGAATCGCGAGCGCCGTCCGCTTTTTTTTCCCCCAACCATCCTGTGGTGTTGGGTCCTCGTTTTGAAGAGACGGTGCCACGCGTTCCTCCTCCCGCTGCCCCCTCCCCCCTCCTCCCATCATCATCACCATCCTCATCATGCTCATCATCATGAGTATCGTCATCATCATCATCATCATCCACATCGTTGTTGTCGGTAATCATCATCACCATCACCATCACCATCACCATCACCATCATCATCATCATCATCATCATCATCATCATCATCATCATCATCATCATCGGCACACCCCTCACACGTTTCGTGGCCCCATAGGGAGCTCCACCGAAGGCCCAAATGGCTGCGTCCGCATGACGCCGCCGCCCAATTTTGGCACACCCCTCAGACGTTTCGTGGCCCCATAAGGAGCTCCACCGAAGGCCCAAATGGCTGCGTCCGCATGCCGCCGCCAGCCAATTGTTCACACGTTTCGTGGCCCCATAGGGAGCTCCACCGAAGGCCCAAATGGCTGCGTCCGCATGCCGCCGCCGCCCAATTTTGGCACACCCCTCACACGTTTCGTGGCCCCATAGGGAGCTCCACCGAAGGCCCAAATGGCTGCGTCCGCATGCCGCCGCCACCCAATTTTGGCACACCCCTCACACGTTTCGTGGCCCCATAGGGAGCTCCATCTAAGGCCCAAATGGCTGCGTCCGCATGCCGCCGCCACCCCAATTTTGGCACACCCCTCACACGTTTCGTGGCCCCATGGGGAGCTCCACCGAAGGCCCAAATGGCTGCGTCCGCATGCCGCCGCCGCCCAATTTTGGCACACCCCTCACACGTTTCGTGGCCCCATAGGGAGCTCCATCTAAGGTCCAAATGGCTGCGTCCGCATGCCGCCGCCGCCGCCCCATATTTGGCACGCCCCTCACACGTTTCGTGGCCCCATGG